AAAAAAAAAAAAGAAAAAAAAAATAAATAGCTTTTATTGTTGCAGTAGAAAATACAACTTTTCTGAAATGTTATTGATACATCAGCTGACCTTTAGTGTTAGAAAGCTTTCACTCTTGATTTTCTAATGCGAAATCCCGTATCAAAGAGTTAATAGACAACTCAGAAAAAAAAAAGCATTAACAGAAGAAAACAGGGAAAGTGGACTATGATGGGGATAGAAAATGGAAAGGACAGGGACTTCCCTGGTGGCCCAGTGGTTAGGACTCCGTGCTTGCACAGCAGGGGGCTCTGGTTCGATCCTTGGTCAGGGAACTAAGATCCCACATGCCACTCGGTGCAGCTAAAAAAAAAAGAAAGAAAAACTTGAAAGGGCAGACTGGAAGTTGCAGCCAGTTCTGCCATAAGACAGCACACATTCCTAAGAAATTACTGCATTATGCAAAATGACGTAATAAAAACCCACAGGAGACTCATTAGAAAAATGGGATAATGGGCACAACACTCAAAACTTCATCAGTGACACCCATAAAAAGATAGGAACCTAACAAGAATGGTAGCACAGTTTTACGTGTATTAAATGGTTTAAAAAATACATAAATATTCATTCTAATATGACAGTTTTCCTTGAAAACAACCTGACATGTGCTTTTGCAGGTAGGTGTCGGAAGGGTTTCAGTTTGTAAGCTATTGTGAAGTGGTGGAGGGAAGATTATCTGATATCGAGGAAAAGGTGTAGCACCAGCTGTGTGGATGGTGTGGCTCCCTAAGGTCCATGGTGAACTGAGGTGGATGGTGGATGTTTGGGGGCGGGGCGGGGGGTGGCTGGGCAGGCTGAGGGTGTGAGCTTTTATTCCCACGTGGCTCAGTTTAGCCAGGTGTGGTTTTCTGCATTTACCTAGTGCTTTTTGCAGATGAAGTCTTGCAGAAGGAAATAGAAAAATTCTTTTTGCTCAAATTGTTCCTTAGTAGATCAGTGACTTCGGAATAAGTTTACGTTTTCAAAACAAACATTACAGTGAACTATGTTTAATTCGATTGAGAATTTTATTTACATCATTTGATATCAGAGAAAATATATCACTTTTACTCTGAGACACCTGCTTGAGAATTCTGATACCCCCCAAATAGTAAAAATTTTTCCCCCTCTTTATACCACAGACATGGTAATTATTCCTTTAGTACACTGCCACTGGGGGTGGTTTTTGTGGCTGAACATTTTAATTTAAATATTTAATAATTTTAATGTATATCAGAGATATATATTACACACTTTTTAAACCTGTTGTTTTATAGCTGCTGTTGTTTTGGAAAACAATAAGAGTTCTGGAAAACACTGAGAGTGGTACCCTGCTTCCCAAAGTTGGGCCATCTGAAAACAGATTGGGGGTAGTTTCAGGTTGCCCCTGATAGAGGGGCACTACTTACTGGTGATTAAGGGCTGGGGGACGGGAATTCTAACCACCCTGAAATCCTGTACAAGGATTGCTGTGTCCAAAATACCAATGCTGTCCCTGTGAAAGACTGGTGAGTATTAGATTAAGGAGGAGGAAGGAACAGTAGAGTTGATAATTTGAATAAAATTGTTGAGTAAAAAATAGTATTTTATGTGTCTTTGGTAAGAATGATGAAAATAGTTTGCAGTTGAGGGAAGTTTGGAAAACACTAGTTGAGGACAAGTAGTAGCGGTGAGCTTCATTTAACAAACACTGGTATATAGTGCCACGTGCCTGGCAGTGTTCTCAGTGCCATAGAGATGGTAATTTACTCAGCTGTGGTTAATGGTTCTTGAGGCATTAGCCTCGTCTAGGGTAGGCTCTCACCGTTGGCTGCGCAGTGGAATCACACAGAAGAGCTTGTAAAAGTCTGGATGCCCAGGCCACAGAAAAATCAGAATCAGAATCTTTGAAGGTGGGACTGAGGCATCAGTATTTTTTAAGCTCATTAGATTATGCCGATGTGTAGCCAAGGTTGAGAACCACTGGTCTAGGACCATTTGAAAATCACTGTCTTCATAAGAAGAGCTGTACCAATCGGGCAAATGTTAATTGAAGGCCTACTCTGTGCCATGCTGTCAGCGGCAGATGACCGAGACAGGTAGCTCCACTGTCCAAGGGAGTCGGCAGAACGGGAGACAGATTTTTACAGTCCTGGCTGACAAGTGCCGATGCTTGAAAGTATATTCAGTGTTTTGGGATCACGGAAGAGAAGGAAACTAATTTTTTTTAAAGAAAACCTCAGGTGCCAAATTTGGAAAATTATTAAACTTGTTATTTTAGCTTTCCCTCCCTTACACACTACTTTCATATCTGGCGGGGGGAAAGCAGCAGGCACTTATAAATTACTATCAGTTTAGCCTTCCTAACCTGCTTGTAGCCTTTGTGTGGTCTAGTTGGAGAATTTGAATTCTGCCTGTAGATAGCATAATGATTTTGTCCTGGTGTAGAGCAGGCTCTTTAGTACCTCATAAAGTGTCATTGAGCTATTGCCCTTCTGGGAGTAAGTCAGCACAGCTTCACAGAGAGTCTCAGGACTGATTTTTTTTTTTTACTTAATTAATTTATTATTTGTTTGTTTTTGGCTGTGTTGGGTACTCGTTGCTGCGTGCGGGTTTTCTCTAGTTGTGGCGAGCTGGGGGCTACTCTTTGTTGCAGTGCAGAGCTTCTCATTACGGTGGCTTCTCTTGCTGCGGAGCACGGTCTCTAGGCGTGCGGGATTCAGTAGTTGTGGCTCGCGGGCTCTAGAGCGCAGGCTCTGTAGTTGTGGCGCACAGGCTTAGTTGTTTCATGGCAGGTGAGATCTCCCTGGACCAGGGCTCGAACCTGTGTCCCCTGCGCTGGCAGACAGATTCTTAACCACTGTACCACCAGGGAAGTCCCTCAGGACTGATTTTAAAAGGACCTTTGGAAATAAATCCTTGACATGATGGTTGTAGTCAAATTGATTCTAATATGCTTAATTTAAAAAATACTCATATAGCTTCCATATTGTGATAAATAAATGTTGGATCACATTTTAAAACTTAGGAGTAAAGCAAACGTATTTTAAATTACAAGTTTAACTAAAGGCAACTACTGAAGCTACCAGCTTGAGATACTTAAGTAGATAAAGTTACTAAGTAATTTACTTGTGTCCGATGGTAACATTCTTCAACAGCTCTCGATTTATTTAGTGTGGGTTGCCTTACTCTGAGAAAACCTGCTTCTCTAGTGGATAGACTTACTTTCAGTTAAGCCTGAGTAGTCCTTACTTAACCATGAATTACTTCCTGGTATAAAAAGCAGGCTTAGCTATTTGTGGTATTTTTGTCTTGCGCCTTTGGCATCCTATGGTGTGAACAAGAGCTGTGCCATCTGTAGTCAAGTGAGATTATTTAAAAAGGGGGGGGGGGCGTTGGGAGTGGGGAGTGAAGTGATTCACTGGAAAATTTCAGCACAGATTCTTAGGGAACGATAAGATAACCCTAGAAACATTCTTATTTGGTGTCATATACTGGTGGGTAGTGACAAAAAAAAATATTAAGGTACAATTTGTTTCTTAACATTTTGCTGTTTTGAAAATTGGAGAGGTACTATGCTAGAAAGGAAGAAAGAATTCCGTGCAGTGTCAATTAGCAGAGCTCTGCAGACGAATGAATACTTTTCCCCTCTCTGACTACAAGTTGCAGTCAGTGAGGTTCATTTCTAAAATGCAAAACCCACTCTTCTCAGGTTTAGAATGTCTGTTTCCTAATGGTTGTCTATGTATGATAAACCTCTTCATGCCGAGACGTTTCCTAAGCAGAAGGACCAGTTCCTAGAATCCAGAATAAGTCTGTGGGGTCTAGATAAGCCATTTCTGAAAGCTGCTGAGTTTAATATATTTTCACTTAGTGACACCTATTTGAACCTAAATGTGTTGATTTCCGGGGACTCCCCCAGGGTTCCATTGGAGATGCCTGAAAC